ACGCCCCGGGGCCCCACGCCCCCCCCCCCCCATTCTCCTACACGCACCAGGGATAGCGAGTAAGACAGAGAACATTTTACTGTCTATAAATCCATGGTACGCCCACATCTTGAATACTGTTTGCAGATGTGGCCGCCTCACCTCAAAAACGATATAGTGGCACTGGAAAAGAGTCAGAAAAAGGCAACAAAGATTGTCCCATATGATGAGAGATTAAAAAGACTGGGACTTTTCAGCTTAGAAAAGAGACTGATCGTACATCTACACAGCAGGGCTAACGCTGGAATGAACTACACAACTTGAGCCACCTCAGTTGCATAGGTTATGTCAAAATAGCTTATTTTGGCTTTTGGTGCTGTCTACGCAGCAGGAAGTCGAAGGAAGAACACTCTTCCCCCAACTTCCCTTACTCCTCGTGCAAGGAGGGCTACGGGAGTTGGAGTAAGAAGCCTTCCAGCTCACATATTTCAAAATATATAGTAGCCCAATGTCTGTGACTCTGTAACTCTGAAATGCTGGCTGTTCCCTCCCCGCTGTTGCCTGAGTCACGTCCTTCGCCTCCTGCCGTGGCGCTCGGCTGACTTCTGCACTGCTCAGCTGGGTCACCGCGTGGGAGCAAGTGGTGCAAGCGACCGTTAAGGCTCTGTGCTCCCCGTGCTGCATGGGGAGCGCGATGCCCAAACGGCCATTTGGGCTCTGCGGTCCTCCAAGTGAGAGGCAGGAGGGGGAGGAGAAGAGAAAGAGAGACAGAGAGAGAGGCAGGAGGCGGAGGAGAGCTGAGAGAGGCAGAAGGAGGAGAGAGAGAGAGCGAGAGACCGGAGGCTCAGGAGAGAAGACCGATCTGGAGGAGAGACCTGAAAATCCTGTCTTATGACGGATGGGCTAGTTGGCTAGTTTCAAAATAAAGGCTGGCAGTGTAGACGCGCACTATGTTATTTTGGAAAAACGTCCATTAGTCCGAAATAACACTACTGTGTAGACATAGCCTAAGGGGGGGGATATGATCAAGGAGTATAAATCATGACTGGTATAGAAAAAGGGAATAAGGAAAAGCTATTTATTTATTCCCCCAATATAAGAAATAGGGGTCACCAAATGAAATTAATAGGCAGCCGGGTTAAAACAAACAAAAGGAAGTTTTTCTTCACTCAGTGTACATTCAACCTGTTGAATTCTTTGCCAGAGGATTATGTGAAGACTGGGACTTGAACAGGGTTCAAAAAGGAGCTAGATAGATTCATGTGTGGCTTCAGATGGGTAGCCGAGTTAGTCTGTAACAGGAAAAACTTAAAAAAACAACAAATAGTGTAGTAGCACCTTGAAGACTAACAAAACATGTAGATGATATCATGAGCTTTCAGTTATCACTTTCTGTGTTCATTTCATTCACGGGTAAGTTTTCAGTTGAACTGTCAGCTAGTGCTGCTCTACTAGCTGATTTCTATGTAACATAGTTATCTTTGTGATACTGAAGTTTCATGTGTAGGTGTTCAGTCTTTCAACTTCCTCCAACTGATACTCCAGCCGGATGGTCAGACAGCACTGATGCACTTGAAATATTACTATTAAAAATGAAACAGGATACACAGTACAGAGCCTGCTTTTCCATGCTCCAACAGAGCCAATCTCTTCTATAGATTTCTCCATTTGGAAGAGTTTTTGTCAGCAGATGAGTGGAAAAAGCATGATTTTCAGCATCTTTTGGTATCTTACTTGAGATCTGAAAACAACTGCCTTTGAAAAATGACTGCATTTGAGCAACATTGTTCTTATCAAGAAGTACAATATGAGGTTCTGATGTCATGGTTATTTCACTGTCCTGTGCTAGTCATCAGTTCTTGCTCTTGCTGCACAGCAACTCCAAGGTCCTCATTTTCTGTGCTGTCACCGGCACATCTGAAGAAGTGGGCTGTGCCCACGAAAGTTCATGATCCCACCTACATGTTTTGTTAGTCTATAAAGTGCTACAGGACCACTTGTTGTTTTTTAAGTTTTTCCATCAATGGCTGTTAGCCAGGATGGGTAGGAACGGTGTCCCCAACCTCTGCTTGTTACAGGCTGGGAATGGATGACGGGAGGGATCACTTGATGTTTCCTTGTTCTGTTCACTCCCTTGGGGGCATCTGGCATTGGCCACTGTCGGCAGACAGGACACTGGGCTAGATGGACCTTTGGTCTGACCCAGTCTGGCTGTTCTTATGCGGGCATGTGAGGCTCTGCTTGGGACCATCCCAACAGCCTGGCTGCTTCCCCCCAGAGCCAGCTCGTGTGCACAGCTAGCCTCCTCTAAAAGGGTGTTACAAGGAGGAGGGAGAAAACTTGTTCATCTTGGCCTCTGAGGACAGGACAAGAAGCAAGGGGCTTAAACTGCAGCAGGGGAGACAGGTTGGACATTAGGAAAAACTTCCTGCCTGTCCGGGGGGTTAAACACTGGAATACATTGCCTAGGGGGTTGTGGACTCTCCATCACTGGAGATATTGAAGAGCAGGTTGGTCAGACACCGGCCAGGGATGACCTAGATGGTGCTTGATCCTGCCGGGAGGGCTGGGACTGCACTCGACGATCTCACAAGGTCTGCTGCCCCAGCCTGGCACTCTTGCATTCCCTGGTGAGGTAGAGGCTGCAGGGAAGGGGCCATCAGAGCCAGCCTCTGTTATCACCCCTGAGTTGACCGTCCCCCTTGGGCCGGCCTGGGCAGCCTACTCCTCAGGCTCACAACTGTGCCGGCGCTCTCGGGCGGCTCGCAGAGCCTATGGGGACTGGGCCCCCAAGTCACCCATCGGCAAGCCCAGCCACCCTGCGCTGCTGCCCTGGGCATCCATGGTGGCAGCAGCTGGGCTGGGACCCAAAGCAGCAAGGCCAGGGGCCTGCTCCACTCCTGGGGCTGCCCCTGCCCTGCTGTGCCCTGGCACTCCCCTGCCTGCAGCTGCT